GAGCCCTCCCAGTGCTCCCAGTAACCCCCTAGCGCTCTCCCAGTAGCTCCCAGTATCCCCCCAGTAACTCCCAGCTCCCCCCAGTGTCTCCCAGTCCCTCCCAGTAACTCCCAGTACCCCTCCAGCGCTCTCCCAGTAGCTCCCAGTGCTCTCCCGGTTGCTCCCAGTTCCCCCTAGAGTCTCCCAGTAGCTCCCAGTACCCTCCCAGTAGCTCCCAGTGCCTCCCAGAGCCATCCACCACCGCCCCAGTGCTCTCCCAGTAGCTCCCAGTGCTCTCCCAGTAGCTCCCAGTTCCCCTCCAGTGCTCTCCCAGTAGCTCCCAGCTCTCCCAGTTCTCCCTAGAGTCTCCCAGTACCCCACCAGCGCTCTCCCAGTACCCTCCCAGTGTCTCCCAGTAGCTCCCAGTTCCTTCCAGTGCCTCCCAGTACCCCTCCAGTAGCTCCCAGTGCCTCCCGGTAACCCCCCAGTACCCCCCAGTTCCTCCCAGTACCCCCCCAGTGCTCTCCCAGTGCCTCCCAGTGCCCCCCCAGTAGCTCCCAGTTCCTTCCAGTGCCTCCCAGTACCCCTCCAGTAGCTCCCAGTGCCTCCCGGTAACCCCCCAGTACCCCCCAGTTCCTCCCAGTACCCCCCCAGTGCTCTCCCAGTGCCTCCCAGTGCCCCCCCAGTAGCTCCCAGTTCCCCCTAGAGTCTCCCAGTACCCCCCCAGCGCTCTCCCAGTACCCTCCCAGTGCCTCCCAGTGCTCCCAGTTCCCCCAGTGCCCGCCATGTTCCTGCCCCCAGCACCCCCGTGCCCCCGATTTGGGGTCCCTGGGGTCTCTGGGATCCCCAATTTGGGGTCCCTGACCCCCCCTGCCGTGCCCGCAGCCCCCCCCGTGCCCCTGATTTGGGGTCCTTGTCCCCCCTGATTTGGGGTCTCTGCCCCCCCGGTTTGGGGTCCCTGGGGTCTCTGGGGTCCCGGATTTGGGGTCCCTGACCCCTCTGGATTTGGGGTCCCGGATTTGGGGTCCCTGACCCCCTGTCTCCCCGATTTGGGGTCCTGGATTTGGGGTCCCTGACCCCCTGCCGTGCCCGCAGCCCCCTCCCGTGCCCCTGATTTGGGGTCCCTGTCCCCCCGATTTGGGGTCCCTGGGGTCTCTGGGGTCCCGGATTTGGGGTCCCTGCCCCCCCCCCGGATTTGGGGTCCCCGATTTGGGGTCCCTGGTGTCTCTGGGGTCCCGGATTTGGGGTCCCTGACCCCCCCTGGATTTGGGGTCCCCGATTTGGGGTCCCTGGGGTCCCTGTCCCCCGGATTTGGGGTCCCTGACCCCCCGTGTGCCCGCAGCCCCCCCGTGCCCACATCTCCACGGTGGATGCCAACGAGAGCGAGGAGGTTCGGCAGTTCCGGCGCCTCTTCACCCAGCTGGCCGGGGAGGTCAGCGATCCGCTGGATCCGCTGGGATCCACTGGGGGCTACTGGGAGTACTGGGGTCTACTGGGAGTACTGGGATCCACCGGGATCCACTGGGGGCTACTGGGAGTAGTGGGGTCTACTGGGAGTACTGGGGCCACCGGGATCCACTGGGGTCTACTGGGAGTACTGGGGCCACCGGGATCCACTGGGGTCTACTGGGAGTACTGGGGCCACCGGGATCCACTGGGGTCTACTGGGAGTACTGGGGCCACCGGGATCCACTGGGGTCTACTGGGAGTACTGGGGCCACCGGGATCCACTGGGGTCTACTGGGAGTACTGGGGCCACCGGGATCCACTGGGATCTACTGGGGTCTACTGGGTGTACTGGGAGTACTGGGGCCATCGGGATCCACTGGGATCAGCTGGGGTGTACTGGGATCCACTGGGGTGTACTGGGGTCTGCTGGGGTGTACTGAGGCCACCGGGATCCACTGGGATCAGCTGGGGTGTACTGGGGTGTACTGGGAATACTGGGGCCACTGGGATCAGCTGGGGTCTACTGGGTGTACTGGGAGTACTGGGGCCATCGGGATCCACTGGGATCAGCTGGGGTGTACTGGGAGTACTGGGGCCACTGGGATCAGCTGGGATGTACTGGGGTGTACTGGGATCCGGATTTGGGGTCCCTGACCCCTCTGGATTTGGGGTCCCGGATTTGGGGTCCCTGACCCCCTGTCTCCCCGATTTGGGGTCCTGGATTTGGGGTCCCTGACCCCCTGCCGTGCCCGCAGCCCCCTCCCGTGCCCCTGATTTGGGGTCCCTGTCCCCCCGATTTGGGGTCCCTGGGGTCTCTGGGGTCCCGGATTTGGGGTCCCTGCCCCCCCCCCGGATTTGGGGTCCCCGATTTGGGGTCCCTGGTGTCTCTGGGGTCCCGGATTTGGGGTCCCTGACCCCCCCAGGATTTGGGGTCCCTGTCCCCCGGATTTGGGGTCCCTGACCCCCCGTGTGCCCGCAGCCCCCCCGTGCCCCCGATTTGGGGTCCCCGGGGTCCCTGTCTCCTGGATTTGGGGTCCCTGACCCCCCGTGTGCCCGCAGCCCCCCCGTGCCCACATCTCCACGGTGGATGCCAACGAGAGCGAGGAGGTTCGGCAGTTCCGGCGCCTCTTCACCCAGCTGGCCGGGGAGGTCAGCGATCCGCTGGATCCACCGGGATCCACTGGGGGCTACTGGGGTGTACTGGGGTGTACTGGGAGTACTGGGGCCATCGGGATCCGCTGGCCTCTTCACCCAGCTGGCCGGGGAGGTCAGCGATCCGCTGGATCCGCTGGGATCCACTGGGGGCTACTGGGAGTACTGGGGTCTACTGGGAGTACTGGGATCCACCGGGATCCACTGGGGTATACTGGGAGTACTGGGGCCACCGGGATCCACTGGGGTCTACTGGGAGTACTGGGGCCACCGGGATCCACTGGGATCTACTGGGGTCTACTGGGTGTACTGGGATCCACTGGGGTGTACTGGGAGTACTGGGGCCATCGGGATCCACTGGGGTTTACTGGGGTCTACTGGGTGTACTGGGAGTACTGGGGTCTACTGGGTGTACTGGGGTGTACTGGGACCCACTGGGAGTACTGGGGCCACCGGAATCCACTGGGATCAGCTGGGGTGTACTGGGATCCACTGGGGTGTACTGGGGTCTGCTGGGGTGTACTGAGGCCACCGGGATCCACTGGGATCAGCTGGGGTGTACTGGGGTGTACTGGGAATACTGGGGCCACTGGGATCAGCTGGGGTCTACTGGGTGTACTGGGAGTACTGGGGCCATCGGGATCCACTGGGATCAGCTGGGGTGTACTGGGAGTACTGGGGCCACTGGGATCAGCTGGGATGTACTGGGGTGTACTGGGATCCACCAGGGTGTACTGGGGTGTACTGGGATCTACTGGGGCCACTGTGTGTACTGGGGTCTGCTGGGATATACTGGGATCTACTGGGTGTACTGGGGCCACTGGGATCTACTGGGTGTACTGGGGCCACTGGGGTCTACTGGGATCCACTGGGTGTACTGGGGTCTGCTGGGATCTACTGGGCCACTGGGATCTACTGGGGTCTACTGGGTGTACTGGGGTGTACTGGGATCCACTGGGTGTACTGGGGCCATCGGGATCTACTGGGGTGCACTGGGTGTACTGGGGTCTGCTGGGCTTTACTGGGGTGTGCTGGGATCTACTGGGACCCACTGGGATCCACTGGCATCTACTGGGGTGTACTGGGATCCCACTGGGGTCTACTGGATCCACTGGGGCTTCCCCAGAATTTGGGGTGAGGATTTGGGGTCCCCCCATATTTGGGGTGCAGATTTGGGGTGAGGATCTGGGGGTTCCCTGAGGATTTGGGGTGAGGATTTGGGGTCCCCCAGTATTTGGGATCAGGATTTGGGGTTCCCCAGTGTTTGGGGGTCCCCCAGTATCTGGGGTGAGGATTTGGGGTCCCCCCGTATTTGGGCTGAGGATTTGGGGTCCCCCCATATTTGGGGTGCAGATTTGGGGTGAGGATCTGGGGGTTCCCTGAGGATTTGGGGTGAGGATTTGGGGGTCCCCAGAATTTGGGGTGAGGATTTGGGGTGGGTCAGAATTTGGGGGTTCCCCCAGGATGGATTTAGGGGTCCCCCCATATTTGGGGTCAGGATTTGGGGTGAGGATTTGGGAGTCCCCAGACTTTGGGGTTCCCTGAGGATTTGGGATGAGGATTTGGGGGTCCCCAGACTTCGGGGTTCCCTGAGGATTCGGGGTGCGGATTTTGGGGGTCCCCCCGGTATTTGGGGGGTGCGCAGCCCCCCTGACCCCCCGCTCCCCCCAGGACATGGAGGTGAGCCCCACCGAGCTCATGAACATCCTCAACAGGGTCGTCACCCGCCGTGAGTGCCCCCCAAAAACCGGGGTTCGGGGCGGGAGTTTGGGGTGCCCGGGACCCCTGAGGGTGCCCACGAGCCGGGGCACCCCAAAACCTCCCCCGGGACCCCCCCAAAACCCGCCGTGACCCCCCCAGATCCCGACCTGAAGACGGACGGCTTCGGGCTGGACACCTGCCGCAGCATGGTGGCCGTCATGGACGTACCCCGAGATTTTGGGGCGTTTTGGGGGGTTTTGGGGGGTCCTCCAGGGGTTTTGGGGTGCGGGGAAACGGGGGGGACCCCGGTGCACCCCGAAACGTCCTTGACGAGCCCCCCCAGAGCGACACCACCGGGAAATTGGGGTTTGAGGAGTTCAAGTACCTCTGGAACAACATCAAGAAGTGGCAGGTGAGGAGCCCAAAATTTGGGATTGGGGGGGTCCCCAAAATCGGGGGGACCCCAAAAATGTGGGGGGGACCCCAAAAACAGGGGGTGGGAGGCCAGAGTTGAAGGAGATCCCAAAATTGGGGTGCTCAGGGTGGAAGGGGACCCCAAAATGGCAAAATTGGGGGGATCCAAAAATAAACGAGCCCCAAAATCGAGGGAAAACCCAAAATTTGGGGGAGGGGGGCACCCCAAAAATCGGGATGGGAGCCCCAAAATCCCGAGTGGGCACCCCAAAATCTGAGGTTATTCAGAACTGGGGAAGACCCCAAAATGAGGGGGGCACCCCAAAAAATGGGACCCACCCCCAAAAAATCGATTTGGGAGCCCAAAATGAGGGGCACCCCAAAATCGAGGGAGGACCCCAAAATTTTGGGGTTTTTGGGACCCAAATTTTGAGACCCCAAAATTTCCCCTCTTAAATTCCCAAAAACATGAGGGGGGGTGTTATAGGGACCCCCCAAGCACCCCAAAATTTCCTCCAGGGGTTTTGGGGTGCGGGGAAACGGGGGGGACCCCGGTGCACCCCGAAACGTCCTTGACGAGCCCCCCCAGAGCGACACCACCGGGAAATTGGGGTTTGAGGAGTTCAGTACCCTCTGGAACAACATCAAGAAGTGGCAGGTGAGGAGCCAAAATTTGGGGATTGGGGGGGTCCCCAAAATCGGGGGGACCCCAAAAATGTGGGGGGGACCCCAAAAATAGGGGGTGGGAGGCCAGAGTTGAAGGAGATCCCAAAATTGGGGTGCTCAGGGTGGAAGGGGACCCCAAAAAGGTAAAATTTGGGGGATCCCGAAATAAACGAGCCCCAAAATTGAGGCAAAACCACAAAATTTGGGGGAGGGGGGCACCCCAAAAATCGGGATGGGAGCCCCAAAATCCCGAGTGGGCACCCCAAAATCTGAGGTTATTCAGAACTGGGGAAGACCCCAAAATGAGGGGGGCACCCCAAAAAATGGGACCCACCCCCAAAAAATCGATTTGGGAGCCCAAAATGAGGGGCACCCCAAAATCGAGGGAGGACCCCAAAATTTTGGGGTTTTTGGGACCCAAATTTTGAGACCCCAAAATTTCCCCTCTTAAATTCCCAAAAACATGAAGGGGGGGGGTTATAGGGACCCCCCAAGCACCCCAAAATTTTGGTGGGGGGGTAATTAGGGGGGGTGTGGGCACCCCCAAAATTTGGATTTAAGGATTTTAAAGTGCCTGAAATGGGGGTTTGGGAGGATTTTGGGGGGTTTGGGAGGGTCCCCAAATTTTGGGGAGGGGGTTGAGGGGATTTGGGGGTTCGGGACCCCCCAAAATTTGAGTGGGGGGTAATTAGGGGGGTGTGGGCACCCCCAAAAATTTGGATTTAAGGATTTTAAAGTGCCTGAAATGGGGGTTTGGGAGGATTTTGGGGGGTTTGGGAGGGTCCCCAAATTTTGGGGAGGGGGTTGAGGGGATTTGGGGGTTCGGGACCCCCCAAAATTGTTGTGTCCCCCCCCCAGTGCGTGTACAAACAATTCGACACCGACCGCTCGGGGACCATCGGGCCCCAGGAGCTGCCGGGGGCGTTTGAGGCCGCAGGTTTGGGGGTTTTTTTGGGGTTTTGGGGATTTTTTTGGTTTTTGGAGAGGTTTTCGGGGGTTTTGGGGATTTTTGGGGGGTTTGAGGGATTTTTTTGGGGAGGATTTATGGGATTTTTGGGGGATTTTTTGGGAATTTTTTGGGATTTTTGGCAGGGTTTGGGTGGATTTTTTTGGTGGGGGGAATTTTTGGGGGGATATTTGGGGGTTTTGGGGATTTTGTGGGATTTTGGGGGGGATTAATGTTTGGGGGATTTTGGGGGGATTTTTTGGGGGCTTTTCTTTGGATTTTTTGGGGGATTTTGGGGGGCAGGAATTTCAGGGGGCAGCAGAGGGATGGTGGGAAGGGGTTCTGGGTGGAGTTTTGGGGTGAAGGTTGGGATTATTCAGGGTTGGCCCCAAAATCCCCCGGGGGTGACCCCAAACCCTCCAGGCACCCCCAAATTTGGGATTTTGGGGGGGTCAGGGACATTTCAGGGGTGTGATTTTGGGGTCGGATCACCAT